ATAAATTAATTTTTAATAAGTCATAAATTAAATAATTAAGTGAATTTGCTACACAACAATACACACTGATGCCAGTATCCATGGTTATGGTTGTAATCTAATGCAAATATCTATGATTGATAACTGCCTACATCATTTTTATTACATGAGTAAAAAGCATCTGATGCGGAAAAGAAATTTACCAGTTACGAACTTGAGGTATTAGCTGTAATTCAAGCTTAATCAAGCTTAATCTGTAATTCAAGCAAGAAAGAATTTAAAGTTTATCGTTTAGAAAAACACTTCAAAATTATTACTGACTGTAATTCGTTCAAAATGATGATGAACAAGAAAGACTTAAATACACGAATAGCACGATGGCCATTGATGTTAGAAGATTTTGACTATGAAACAGAACATAGAACTGGAACGTGAATGACACATGTTCACGTATTACGCAGATGCTGTTATGGTCATCATTCAAGATAGCCTCATTTTGAAAATGCGGAACGCTAAGAGCAAGATGATACATTCGAGCTGTCAAAGAAGTTTTAAAAGTTAAACCTTATGATGACTATTGTGTTAAAGCTGATATACTTTACAAATTTGTAGATGGTAAGAAATTACTTGTTGTTCCAGAATCAATGCAAAGTGACATAATTAAGGATGCACATCTTTGTGGACATTTCGCTTCCAAATGAACTGAAGAACTGATCAAACAAGAATTTTATATACCTAAACTTAATGATAAAATTGACAACTATATTGCTAATTGTATTCCTTGCAGACTAATTAATCGTAAACGTGGTAAACAAGAAGCTATGTTGCATTCTATACCCAAACAAGATATACCACTTCACACATATCACACTGATCATTTAGGACCACTTCAGAGTACTCATAAAAATTACAAGTATATATTTGCTGTTATTGACTCTTTCACAAAGTTCGTATGGCTTTACCTGACAAAATCTACTGATAGTGTAGAAGTAATATCTAAATTGGAAAATCAAAAATTTGTCTTTGGAAATCTTCGCATATAATTTCAGATAAAGGCTCAGCATTTACATCAAAAGATTTTCCAGATTATTGTTCAACCTACAATATTCAGCATATTCAAATTACTAAAGGACTTCCTCATGCCAATGGACAAATTGAAAGATTGAATTCTGTCATAATTTCTGTTCTTTCCAAATTATTGATTCAAAATCCGTCAAAATGGTATACACACGTCGGTGAAGTTCAGCAAGTGATCAATTCAACACACCAACGGAGTATCAACACAACTCCATTCGAACTCATGTTTGGAACTACTAATCATGATAAAATTGCAGAGATCCAGTCAGATTTCGTCAATGCTCGTGATGATCTTTGCAAGGAAGCTAAACAACAGATTTTGAAAGTCCAGGCTGAAAATCGTAACACTTACAATCTGCGATGTAAACCATCCCGTAAATTCCAGCTTCATAATCTAAAGGCAATCAAGCATACGCAATATGGACCTGGTCTTAAACTGAAACCCAAGTTTCTCGGACCGTATAAAATCGTGAAAATCAAGCCAAATGACACTTATGATGATGAAAAATGTGGTTTCTTTTGATGAACCTATGAAAACAAGCACTTGCGCGGAGTTTATGAAACCTTGGACTTCATCAGAACATATTACCTAAACTTCAATGTTTTATGAACAGTTACTCATATGAATTGATCTACGTCTTTGGACTTTAAATCCTATCCATCTTTCGTTTGATTATTATTACTAACTATTATTATTTTTTCATTTTTCTAGGTGTTGTTATTAGAAGATCCTAATGGAATATTATTTTCATTTATCTCTTTAATTTAGTATTTCAATTTATCTGTATCAATTTAGTATTTTCATTTATAGTTTAACAGTATTAGTATTTTTTCTTTTTACATTATTTTATATATGTTAAATTTCACTGTTTGCTCTTGCCATCTGAGGGCAAATGACTATGTCGCATGGCCAAATTATGTAGAAACTGTTAACTGTAACTAAGATTATGTAAGAGCACCATCTAGATTAGGGTGTGGTCAGACGAGACGTGAATGATAGTGAGGACGGACATGTATAAAATGTTTTGACAACTATTATTTTACTTTTATTTTCATTCTAATGTAAATAAAGAAATCCTAGTTAAACTTCATGGGTTGTAGTTATGCTTATTATCAATTCTTCCCTACATATCTGACATATAGAAATTATCTCATGGGAATTTTTTTTAGAAAACAATGTCATGCAAAAGATTTCTATTTCTAATGAGATGACTCCTCTTTGATGATATTCATGGCAGGCCAAGCAGACAGTAGCAGGATAAACTAGCTCTTATTCGAGATTTTACTGAAAGACTTACTCAAAATTTCTCAAAAGCATATGCTGTTTGCAAAAGTCTAACTACTGATAAGAAGCTTAAACCTTTTAGAGGACGATGCACATTCAGACAGTATTTGCCATATAACCCGTTAAATACAGCATAAAAATATTTGCATTGGTAGATTCCAGAGTATTTTAGACTTGGAATATGGAAATATATACAGGGAAACAATTAAATGGTCCTTATCAAGCTGACAATAACTCAAGTAATTATAAAATAAATAATACAGAATAAAAAATTCAAATATTGCTAATACCACAATTTACATCACTTAAAAAATATAGATACGATGTTCTAATATCCATACCTTTAGACCACAATAATTTTTTTTTCTTATAAATTCTAGGAATTAAGAAACAGCAGGAGTGCTATAAAAATGATTTTTCTTCCAACTAATCGAGATTCCAGTATGTAACTTTCAGACACTTGTTGGTTAAGGAATCACACCATGGCTGTTGAAAATACATTGACTGATTTTAGCTACGACTATACTTTTAGCCCTTGAGAGGTTTAGCATTTTTCTATCTGCCAAAACAATCAGCAAATTTTTTTACGAAACTAAATGTAACGTCAATAAATTCAAGAGTAGTTTTTATGTTCATCAAAAATCTACAGCTTCAAAGTGTAACCAGAAGAAATTTTCAAAAATCACTAGGACTTTTGGAAGATTACACTGAAGAAAGACACAACACGCTTATGCTTCTTAAAAATTTGAAAGAAAAAACTATAAACTACTGATTCTGATGAGCCACCAATGGAGGTTGCTAAAATCTACTATAAATGATGTTCAGACTGTCCCAACAAAAAATGCAAAAAATTTTAATATTTTTGCCCTTTATGTAACAAACACATATGTACACAGCATATGTATGCAACATATGTCCTTAATTTGTAAAAAGTGAGAAAATCCCACAAATAAGTAAAATTCATTTTACCTAAATTTCACGTGTTTTTTCATTTGTACTTTTAACTTCATGTTGTTTTACATGAACCATCAATACATTTACATTCAGGAAACTTTAAACGTGAAAAATGTGCTCAGGTATGCAATACCTACGCAACTCCCCCTTTTGGGTGATTAATGCACCTTGAGGCGGGTTGAAATAGTCTGCATTTCTTTAAAATTCTCATATGCAAAATGTTGTTTATGAAAAAAATTGTTTGAAAATAATCACGTGGAAATGAAACTACCATGGGTAATAAGCTCTAATCTGGCATCTATGCTATGCTGAAAACTATCCATTTTGGTCAAGGTAGAAATTTCAATACGATAAATGACTTCAAAGATTTACATAAATATCCAATATTCTTTTAAATAAATAAAATCAATTTAGGATTATAGAACAGTTCCATAAAGGAAAGTGCATGACAGAATTGATTCCATGATTAAAAAAATTAAGAGTTTTAGGAAATGAGAATTTTTAAAAATCAGATCGAAATACCTAAGATACTTAACAACTTTTTATCAAAAAATGAACTTTGACTTACAAACGAAGTCAAAGAGACCATAATAGCCCTCTTAAAAGTACACTAAGAGTAATTCAAGCATTACTTTCCTAAACAAAATGGGGAAAACAACTGAATTTCAAATTCCTTCAATGAAGATTTCTCTACAGCAACCTCAATATTTCCTTTCTCCAAGAAAGAAAAACTTACTGATTACATTTACTGCAGTTTATCAGTTTTGTTGTATAAAGTAATAATAGTAAATATATTGTGAAAATACTACAGGAAGGTAAAAAGAGATCACAGGCTGAGAAGGTGGAGAGTGGCTAGTGATAATCCGTATTTACAAGTTTTCATTAAGGGATATACTATTTGGATTAGATAATTCATGCTTTAGCTTCAACACATCATCATTCAGATTGATGGGCTATTAGGTAAATACAGGCATCTGGCCCTACTCATTTAAAATGCACTTTTCGAAACTGAATTTCAATATGAAATATGTTGACAAAGGGCACAGAAAAGAAGGCTAGAAAACAGTAGATACACTCTAAAGATATTTCAGCTTATAATTAACACAATACAAAGATCCATTTTCTGTATTAGAGATGGAAGAAATGCAATTAAAACTGCATAGAAGTAGGTTAAAAAGTTCAAAATTTGGCTGTACATTAATTTTTCTAAGCCATATTTATGAAATATTGAGTGCCTTAAGATGAAACAATTTAAATGGAAATAACACAAGAACAGAGAAACTTTTACATTCATTTTAACTCATTTCTAACTGCTGCTAATGTTAAGATCTGAAAATAAGCAATGCTTTATTGCCATAACATCTATCAGATTTAATGATCACAATCTTCAAAAATTATGACCTCAAAATTTCTCAATAACCTAGTGAGAAGATTATTACATTTTTTCATAGGTGAAATAAAAAAAAAATAAATAAATAAACCCAGCTAAATTATGGTTATAATTCACATATTTAAGTGCAAGCACTTTTTATATCTAGCAAGTGCTAAAAATTTCTCTTAGGATTTATTTATTACTGCAAAGATACACCTAATAAAATGTATTTCCTAATGACATCTGAAAAAGTTTCCATGTAATTACTATTTACATTTGTTTAAAGGAAGAAGCTCATCTAGTGTATTATACTTTGTATGATCATCTACTTACCCCGCATTGTTCTTATACATTCAAAAAGAGTGAAATCCCAGAGTTTAACTGTCATATCAGCTGAACAAGACACTATAAAATAGAATTAAAGAACATACTTCTGTTATTAAATTATACATTTCATATTAAATACAATGAATGCTTAAGATACATTAATAATAGGGGTGTCCAACCTGTCGCTCGCATGTAGCTCAAGAAGCAAGTGTGATGTGCAAAATGATTTAATGAAAAATTAGACCCCACCAGAAAGTTGGAGCAAAATAATAGATATTTTGTGTGGAGTGGCAGTTCCAAGCTTTCTTTTTACTTGTGCGCAAAGCAATTATCTTCATTGTATATCATATCAAGATTAATGTTACAGTTTTGCTTACCTTCAAGCATTAATGGACAACAGTGATGTTATATTTTAAAATGCTTCAAAGCGTGTTTAAAATGGCACAGTGTTCTCATATCCTACATCATGCTGTGAGCGAAATTATTTCCTACATTTTGTTACATTGTACAATTATGATATGTTAAGTGAATATGTAAGAGAAAAATGAGCTTGGTACTCCAACCTTGTGTTCATATGGATGCTTAACTATATAATAGTGTTTAAAGTGTGATTTTATTTTTTTTTTTAAATCTTCCTTATTCTGATTTTTATTGCTTTGTGGTCCCATAAAATAAAGGTTGCATATGTTATTATCTTCATTTTGACATATTTTACATTCAAATTGGCAGATTCTTTCTATCAGTACTCCTGCGATAGTATTATTGTTATATATTATGAAATTATTTCTTGTATGAACTTGTGCCATTAAAATCCCCATTTTATCCTACTATAGAAGCTTTGATATGCATTAGGATAAATATTACTGATTGTCTGCATATGCATACGCACTAATGTCATCAGTCTTTATATGTCTTTGATCATTAAAAGACGTGACAACATCAAGAAATTTACATGAAGCACGGAAAAAACATTAATGGAATTTGCTTTGTTTCTTGACCTTACAGATGCTGCCGAGGCTATCATAGGTAAAAAAGAAAAGAAGATAAAAATTAATAGAAGATGATGCCATAGCTTTTGAAAACTCTGATTTGATAAAAGTACTACTGCATAATACACCAAAAACATTTATGTGGAAAAGGCCTAAAAATAGATCATATTGTGCAAATCATCATCAAGATTGTAAATTTATAAAGCTCTAGGATTGAATCATCCCTAATTCAAGGGATTTCCCAAAAGTGTGAATGCCAGGTATAGAAATATCATATACTTTAGAGAAGTAAGATGGCTCAAGGCCGAATGCTAAAAAGATTTTATAATGCACTTAATGAAATCAAATTATTTATGATATCGAAAGTAATCAGGGCCGGAATTTGATCACAACTCTTTGTTGGGCTTTTATAAATCATACCTACTCAGAAATGAATATGCCTTATTGTACAGTCATACATTATTAAGGTCATTATCTGGCAGCAAGCACATTTGTGAACACGTACTTTCAACAGTGAAGCATGCTAAAAGAAAATCAGAACCAGAATATCAGATAAACACCTTGAGAACTTCCTGAGAATTGTAACCACTTCAATCGAACCAGACACTGATGCATTAGTTTCTCAAATTAAAGGAGAAATATCACATTAATTTTATGACTTTTTGTTATCTTTATAATTATAAATAAAATTTATAATGAAATGCTATGTCTAAAATGTGAAACAATATCAAAATAATACATATGCGTCATTATATAAAAAATTATAAATTAATAAAGGATTAAATTACTTATAGGCCTTTATTTCCCCTTCCCCCCATTAGTGTTAGGCAGTGCCATTTGAATCAAGTGAATCATTGATTCCCTGAAAATCTTTCTATATGTGCTTTCTTACACTTCCTACACACTGAATAAATCTGAACTAATGGCAGTCAAACCCATGCATTTCTCTCCCTAATGACACAATTTGAAAATTTCTTCCAGCGGTCAAATTTGCACACCCGAAAATTTTCTATCAAATTAAGGCAAATGTGTGATTCACTTATTTTAGAGGTCAGGAGCTGCCATTGGTGTTAGAAATAATTTGTATGGCCCAAAATATCTCGTATTTTTCCAATGTGCTCCAGGAAAGATAAAAGGTTGGACACCTCTGTATTAAAAGATGCAGATCTATACTAAAGAACAGAATCATAATGTTAATTGATGGCAATTATAAAGAATACCAGCTATAATCTTTAAATAAAAATCTCAATTACCTAACCACTTTCCAGTATGATCAAAACCAATATCTTGCACTGAATCAGTATGGCCTTTTAAAGTTTTCTCATACTCTCCTGTTTCATAATCCCATACCTAAATAAATACATAATCAAGAAAATTGCTGAGATGCAAATTCTGCACATTTTTAAACATTACTCATTTTAAACACTGGCTATAGTAAAAATCTGACTAATGGCATTCATCTGACAGAAAGTTCAGGTAACCAAAATGCCTTCGTTTTTTTAATGAAAAATTAAGCAAATGAGAGACTTGTAAAACTTTTATATAACACATATTGATATCATGACTCAAAACAAACAAAAACTATTGCCAAACATTGTGATTTAGCACCAACAATAGATTAGCATGAGGTCACAATACAATTGTAAGATCTTTGCCTTGGTTTTCCGTTAACCCAGTTTATTCTCAAAAAGGTGGTTTAGTTTTTGGGAAGGACAATACATGTTAACCCCCTTTTCCCCTCATATTCTGGATTTAAAAAAAAAAAAAAAAAAAAAAAAAAACAAAAAAAAAAAAAAAAAAAAAAAAAAAAAAAAAAAAAAAAAAAAAAAAAAAAAAAAAAAAAAAAAAAAAAAAAAAAAAAAAAAAAAAAAAAAAAAAAAAAAAAAAAAAAAAAAAAAAAAAAAAAAAAAAAAAAAAAAAAAAAAAAAAAAAAAAAAAAAAAAAAAAAAAAAAAAAAAAAAAAAAAAAAAAAAACAAAAAAAAAAAAAAAAAAAAAAAAAAAAAAAAAAAAAAAAAGAGATTAAAATGTGGGACCTCCCCTAAATGAAAAAGCATGTATTGGAGTACTTATAAAATTATCATTTCTTAGCATCAAGTAAAAAGTGCATTAATGGGCACAACATGCAATATTTGAACATGGAAAAATAATGGTGATGCAATTAAAAAAATTATGATAATTTAGTTACTTTTTTATATGTTATATTTATACCTTGTATCTGTCACTTAACTAAATAATGAATGGTCACTTTGTTTAAACTTAACTGTGCCTTAATGTCTAATGAAAGCTTGAAGTGATCTCTGATAACTTTCATTAGTTTAAGGCCTATGAAAATAGATTGGCTTTCATATCCGAAATACCATTTTTTTTTTAAATCTTACATAATGTTGAATGTAGGCTTTTCAAATTCAAGCTGATAAAAAATAAGATGACTGCTGATATTATAATTTTAGATGGGAAAGTTCTTCCACTCATTTGGCCTTTTTAACAACTACATTCAACATCCCAAAAATTTCACATATTTGGCATTCGGCATTTCCCAAACTTTCTGGATAGTCAAGCTTTTATTGCACTAAAAAAAAACAAAAAAAAAAAAAAAAAAAAAAAAAAAAAAAAAAAAAAAAAAAAAAAAAAAAAAAAAAAAAACTGCACATATACAAGGATTTGAACAATTTATTAAATTTATAAAAATATAAAACTGGCAATTTCTTTTTTAAATCTCTACATATTCTCAAATCTGTTTTCTCCATGTAATAAAAATAAATTTGTAAAATTTATAATTTTTCATTTAAATTACATAAAACAACCAGTAACTGTAAAACTGCATCAAATTCTAAATCCTCTTCAATAATAACAATAATAAAATATGACATGAATTATTATAAAAACCTACATTTTCTAAATTAATAGATTAAATTAAGCTCTCTTTACAATGACCACTAATATTTCCAGATGATTTTGATCTTCTGTGAAGGTGATCACTTTAAAAAAGTGCTTCTCAGTGCTGACATTTATTTACATCCACTGCCAAAATGAAAAGTTTCATCTACAAGGAAGAAATCTACCCGAATGAAATTAAGAACATAAGTCCATCGTTGTTAAATATGCAAATGACTTGTTTCACATTTGTCCACATAAATGATGTCATCACTGATGATGCTTATTATCTACCCTTGCCTCTAAGGAATTTGAACAGTTGGACAACTTTCAGAATGGTTGCACAGTAGGACTCCTTGAAAATGGGTATCACTTTGTCACACTGCAAATCATAATAGCAATGCAGACATTAAAAGTACACACTCATGACATACAGATTCTAAGAAACCTCCACAGATAACAATAATGAAAGAGCAAAGGGTTGGCAGACATGATGAAACATACTAAAACTCTATATGTCATGATTGTGGACATTCAGCTGCAGTGATATCCTCACTGCAGCATCCAGAAGAGTCCGACGAACTTCAGTCATGATACAGGTTGAAGCCGTAGCAGATATTCCTGACGATTTTCAGCACTGATTTCTTAATAGGTAAATGATGCTACTTAAAATAAAACTATATGGTAAAAGCTATGTATTCAGTGGTACAAAATACCATTTAACACCTGGCACTTCACCTTATAGGGGGCCCAATTATAGGAATAATGCAGGAAAAAATTCTTTGGAAACCAATTATTACATACCACCTCTTCTTATTTGAATCAAACAATAACTCCCTATGACTCAATCTGCATCAACTGAGATTACTGCATTGCAAAATCTGCTTCCTCATCATCAATACGTGATTTCATGTCTTTCTGAATGGGAACACAGGACCAAATGCCAGTAAATTCCATGGCAAAAACTATGATGAATAAAAAATGTCACAGAACAACAGGAATGGAAAATCAGCAGAACATGATCTATATATAGCATACTCTACAAATGAGGATCAGGAATAAAATTAAAATGCAGCTTGGGAATTCCTCAACTAAAAAATACTAAATTATTAACTAAAAAATAATTAACTTAAAAAATTAATAAATAAAAATAATCAATATAAACACATGGATTTAAAACCACAATAATTTTTTGACAAGTGAGAAAAATATCACCAAGACCAAGTAAGCTACAACAATCCCAACTTTGAAGAGTAAGGGTTGGATACAGGTTTTCCAAAAGTGCTGGGCATTTAAATTTCAATTTTTGGCCTTTAGAGTAATAGAAATCTCTTACATCAATGAAAATGAATACTAAAACCCAAATAATTTTCTTTTAATAATTCTAACAGGGAGAGAAGAAAAAAAAAAACTAAATGCTATATCTTCATACCAAATAGTTTGGGAAGAAAATAGCTTAATAAACTACTATTTTTTAACTATCATAATTACATGAAAAGGTAAACTGTAGTAAAATTCTTACAGTACTTACACATTCTCAGAAATAATTATGAACTGCCAAAATCACTACATAATTAGCTTAAATACTTCGAAAGTATACAGGCACATATTGATTTACTTTAATTACAAATAAGTAAGTACTTTAGGTTCCAGGTTACAGAACAATTTGAGTAAGACCAAAATTCAAAATAAGTTGACTAGTAAATTAAATTTAATTACAACATAAAGGCAGTGCAAGACCTCATACGACTTGAGAAATACTGAAAATTTTTAAGAGAATCTCTGTGAAAAATTATGACTAATATGGCATTATTTGATAATCACCTTTTACACAGCCTGAGATAATTCTGAATTTGGAATATGATGCCCAAAGAGAATTTGATCCATCCCCCCCCCAGCTAAAACACCCAGATTCGATACCTCATTGTCAGGATATTGAAAATTTAAAATTAAGATGAAAAAAAAAATTGTAAATAATATTGATAACTATGCCTTAGACTGGAAGTTGATCCTTCTTTTTTTTGTTGTTGTTGTTGTTGTATTATTTTGTAACTCATTCCCCAAAAATACTTCACAAATAATCCCTTATGCAACATATTTACTTCAATAAGCAATTATTTTAAAACCATCTGTACTCAATCTTTTCATAATGCATTATATTATAACGTCAAATAACTAGGTCTTATGTACTGTTCTGCAACTTTCATAAAATGCAATTCAAAACGCTACATTCGATTACAAACATAATGTTACAACTGTTTAATGGAAAATGAGGTAAAATAAAATTTACTTTTATTGTAGCATCTTCACTAGATGAAACTAAAATATTATAAACTGGATGAAAGACAACTCTGGTTACAGGAGCTCTATGTGCAGATAAACAGTGTCGTTCTGGAGGTCTAGGTATCCATTCAGATGGGGAACGTTTATCCCTTGTAGGAGCTCCTGCAATAAATTCCCTTTCGGCTTCTGCTAACTTTGCTTCCAGGTCTATAACCTGAAATAATTGAAATGGTTAGCATTATAAAATTCATATTAAAAATGCAAATGAACAAAACATAATTAAAAAAAAAGGTCATACTTTTTTTTGTAGCCTAATTACAGAAGTCCATTTCTTTTCAAGTATTCCAGAATATTTTTTATCCATTTCACCACGCTAAAAATATTTCAAGCTTGTTAGGAATTCACCTACATATAACAACAGAATATCATACTAACTTTCTCCATGTAAATATATTAACCACAAAGTCTTACCATATCTGATTCTTTCTTAAATGCCTCTAGAGCATCCATATACCCGCTAGATGCCAGATAATCAGCTATAGCCTTATTCCTGAAAAAGAAAACAGGAAAACATAGAAGTGCAGCCTAATAAATCATATGAATTGATGAATGCATTTATGTTACTGATGAACTCAGATTACATAATATCAAAGAAATACACCCATGCCTAAAATTATCTTTTACATGCATGAAATCAGATTTCTCAGAAACCATAAACTATAATTTTATGAATTTGTGTGAAATGGTATATAACATTGTAACACAAAAAAAAAAATAATAATAATAATAACAGCACTGCATACGATATATAATTGTAGCATGAAACAATAACAATGGTAAAACTATGTTACAAGGAGAGTTCAGAAAAAAAGAAAAAGAAAGAAAGAAAGAAAGAAAAAAAAAAAGAAAAGAAAAGAAAAACTAAGGCAAATGAATTTTATATGAAATGTGATTTCCCCTGATTTGCAAGCACATATCATATCATGTTTTCATGCTTACAACAATGTTCTTAACTATAGTTTGGGGAATTAAGTTCCACCTCTCTAGCAATGCTGTCTCCAGTACATTTATACCTCTGGAAAGAAGATGTCTCCCTACAACTGCTTTCCCAAGGTAGTCTTGTAAGTTCTCTATTAAGATCAGGAGATTTTGTTGCCATGGTATTCACTCATTGTCTTTACTTTCAATGAATTCACTAATGAGATTTGTTTGATATGGGTTGGATTGGAGGATGACCTAATCCCCCTTGTCAATAAGCATTAACGTCCATAAATAAGTCAAATTCATATACAACTCTGAAAAGTCTTACATAACATTCTCATCGTGATATCTCTGGCCGGTTACAAATTCACTGTTGAAAATGGGCAGGGGTGCTTGTCCATCAATCATTATCCCCTCCATATCATCACACCTGCATTACTGAAACTGTCATATTCCATAATGTTCGAGTTATTGACTCCCTCTAGATGTAAGCACACTTAGAATCCAATGTTCAACTAAAAATCGACTGATCAGAAAGAGAACATGTTCACTCCAGTTCAGATGCTCTTTGCACCAATTATAGCAATCCCTCTTTAGTTGTGATGAATACCCTTGGCTTTCTGATATATCAGCACTTCATTAAGCCTTATTTATACAATTTGCTGTGATAAACAATTCCAGTGGTGGCTGCAAGATCTAGAGCAATAGACTTCTTGTTATTATGGGCAGTTATTGCAAGATATTGATTTTGAGAAGCAGTCGTTATTCATTTATAATCTTGTCCAGAGCTCCATATAACAATTCCAGGGTTTGAAACTATTTCCACAGCATAGACACTGTCTGTTTTGAAACATTCATACAATGTACAAATGTATAAAAATATAAATGTGTGAAGTTAAAAATATTTCATTGATAGATGCAAGCTGTATGAAAAAATATCTTTTTAAAAATTTTATATTAAAAATTATGCATATTTCTGGGTGGAATCGAGAGGGAGAAAATGTATAGCTGAAATAATGTTAGAATAAAATATTATATTGAATAGATATAATATTAAGATAGACATTGAATTAGTATTTGATTTCTTCCTTTAAATAAAGTTACAAGCAATCTAGTACTATTCATAATACTGTGTGAACAGATCAGCTCTGTTTTTATTTGTGATCACTGCAACAAAACATTTACACTCTCTAAACATAAGCACTTAGTGATCCAAGCAGTTTTCATTATAGCTGGCTACACTTATGTAACCTAATGAATGCATAACAAACAGTATCTGGTAAAGCTTCACTTGGCCACATTCCCCAACTTTGAATAACTATCTTTAGCTTCTTGTTCAAGAACATTTAATAATATATATATATATATTATTGGGGGGAATGATACAAAAACAGTTCTTAGAAAATGAAAACTAGACATGGAACTAGATATGCTTTGGACTTGTAACTCATCATTCCCTTTTAACTGTGATCAAGTACTACAGTTATAGAAACTATGACACACCACTATTTAAATTTTCAAGCTGTTAAATTTTTCTGAATAGTGATGCTGTCTCAATATAAGAGGAGGCTGGGAGGCTTCATGAGTAATACTGGCCTATATTTTAGAAAATTTACTGTCGTTCTTGAGACATCTTACAAACTTGGGACCAAGAAACTTAAGTGAATCCATGAAACTTAAGATGATCTTAGTGAATAACCCATAATACTCAATTAAATTTTTTTCTAGAATTTTATTATGACATTACTTTTTTTGTCATTTCAAAAGATTTTTACCCCATAAATAAAACAAGCATAACAATGGATAAAACACTTGTTCTCTTTATATTTATGCACGCCTTTCAAGAAAATTTTTCTTTATATGCACTTACACATATCAGAAATGAATGCCACAAATGACTAAACCTAGAATTGTAAATGGAACTTTTTTTTTTAGACAGAATGTGTATTTACAATGAAATATAAAATTTCATATATTTTAAAGATTAATACTCTCCTCGCTGCAGTAAAAATCTATACAGTGCCTAAAATTTGTGATGTAAATTTTACATATCATACACAAAGTTATGAATAAAATAACAGTTTGCACCATTTAATTGAATGATTTAATAAATGCAAATCCAAAATACTTTATTTCCTTGAAAAAAAATTTTTTTTAATATCCTTTAAAAACATATACAGCATTTAAATTACAGACAATATGAGCGTAAAACCCTAAACACGTCACATCGATATAGAGCTGGGGGAAGGGGGAAAATGAGAGAACGTCAGCGATCAATGAGTCAGCGGCAGCCAGGAGCTCTTCCATTCGCTAAAAGCAGGTGAGAAATAGGTACGACTCGGTCTGTAGGCGCAAGGACAATCGGCTAATTCTAAGTTGCCAATGGGAAGGAAAATTCGTCTCCCGTATTTAGTTAGACACTAGACGAGTATTCGACGCAGGTGTTTGAGCAGTTATTTCACTGCACCATCAGTTATGTTTTTCGCTTATGCAATGCGTATGACTTTCACAACGACACATAAAAAGGAATCAACTGAAATTCCTACATGGATGAAAGCTAATGGCAAATGGTTACTGTAAAAAAAATTTGCCCCCCCTTAAAATCTTTTTTTAAATTGCATTAATTTATTACTCAGATATGTACCTCTTGTGACGCAATTAAATTCTAATAAGCAGAGAGAAACTAAAATTCAAATCTCTTTCGAGTATCGATACATCGTACAGATACACTGCTCCCTCCCCCCCCCCAAAAAAAAAACCCTATGGGACAGTTCTATATCTCCCTTTCTATTGGGCCGACTGACAAAATTCAAATTGCGTTTTTCATTTCTCGAAAGCGCGAATTAGGATATATATATTAGATTTATATATAGCACTATTCTAACATAGGTATTTTGACACAAAATCGGACTTTTTCTGAAATAACATACCAATTTTTTTCCATATTTCGATTCTACGACTCAAATTATGCCAGCAGAATACCAAGTTTTGTAAAAATCGTACGACTAGTTTTTAAAATATTAGCTCTCAAAATTTTAGCATCCTCAATATTAATTGAATTTGGCAAATAAATTTATTAATACTCCTTTTTTATTAAACTTTTGATTTTTCTCTCCACATTTCGAAATTTAGGTTCATTCAAAATAAAATTTACCCATTTTTTGTTTTTATTTTTTTAAATTTCTATTTTTTAAATAATTTTTTATAAATTTTTCGAAAAAAAAAATTTTTGAATTATAACCTATAAAAATTTTTACCATCATCTAAAGTAGGTGTATTTTTAAGTATATCTGCAAAAAGTAGACTTTTTTATTCAAAATTTTCTAAGATATACACGCATTTACATATTTTCGCGTTTTGAAATTTGGCATCTTTTTTTTGAGCGATAATAACGCCAAATGTGGTATATGGATTTTGGTTACAGTGAATTGCCACAGCTATTTTTAACCATAAATTTCAAGCAAAATTTTACGGAGAATTAATTATATGACATTTTTTCCCTCAATAAGGGGTAATAAATATTTATTAATACTATATGAAAAGCTATTTTTTTTTAAATTATAGAGTTTGGTTTTTCTCAATGTAACGTGTATCCCAGGTGGTTTCCCTTAGAGAGTTCTTCACGAAGACATCCCTCCTTTTAGACAGATAGTCCTGCTTTGCCATAATTTAATAATCCAATTCAATCCATTTCATCAGTATTTGGTCACACCCTTTACCAGCATTTAGATTCTAAGCATTTTGAAGGCATGAGTGAAAGGAAAGACTGGTTTCATCAAGAGGGAAAACGTCAAAGGTGACATCCACATACATCACTGGATAAATTTTCTGAATATTTAAATAATTCGACTAAGAAATCATGGGATTCTCCGTTTATGATGATATGATGTTGAAAAACCAATCGCCCTTTACTTTAATCTGCAATGATATTATTTTTGTCTTTTCCGTTAGCAGCAACTCAATTGATGGTATTTGCTGGTGTACACATCCAAGTATTATCTCTTTGAACACACAAATTCCTTGAAGTATTCTGAAAGTATATTCAAAAGCATCCAACTTTTCGAAACACCTTGGTATTTCTGACAGCCGAATTCCCCTTAAAATTTTTGCTTACTTTTTCCCCAATTTCTTCTTTCCTTCTACATTTATTTTCAGTGCTCACCACAAGAAAATTAAAATTAAGATTTTGTTACACTTCCATAAATTTTGCATTCTTCTCATTTTTTTTTAAATATCAATTACATTAACTGCATTTCAGTTGAAGATAGCTTTTCATTTTCTAAGCATTTTAATTATAATTAAAGTTTAAAGCAAAGTCCAAAGAATAAATATTTTAATTAAAAGATTTTTTGTTAAATGACAAAGAAATAAAACCTTCCAGCAGTGTTTATTCTGTACCACTGATTAACTCGATTATTACATCGGCTACAAACAATCTAAATCATATTAAAGATCATGTTTTTATACAATCTATAACACGAGAGAAAATTAGCTACTTAAAACATTCTTTTGAAGAGGATTAATGTAAAAATTTATACTTATATACATAATTTTGAAAGCTAGGTCATG